TTTTTTTAATGAGAATATATGGATAAACGTTCAATAAAGTAAAAGTAAATTTTATGGGTTTATAATCCGACTTCATTAATTGTTAAGAGCCTATCATCTATTAAGGACAGAGTCTCCAAAGGATTTGCGGTCGAATTCTGTTATAGTTATATTATTTATTTAATTTAAATAGTAATTACAAAGCAATAAGTAATTATATAATTATTAATTTTTTCATTTTTTTAAAAACGAGTTTTTTATTTGTATTTATTAATTCTATATACCTACATACTGATTGCTAGATCCATGTTTTCAAAAAAAGATAAATTTCATTTTTTTAAATACGGAGATTTATAATCACCTATAATTAAATGACCGATTTTTGCTTTAGCTAAAAACGAAATATTTAGATTTATAAAAATGAGGTATATATAATACCATTAATAAAGGAATGGGCAGAGCTTGGGACTTTGGATTCGGCGATTCGGGTTTAAATCCCATAGTATTTGATGGCGTATATCGTTGACACCTAATATATTTACCTCTTATATTGATTTTAAAAGAATTTTTAACTCCATAAGATAGAAAAACAAATTGCTCTCATTTTCATTGTTTTACAATATAATAAATATAAGATACAAATTTAAAAAATACTGCGATTAAATTAAAATGATTTCATTTTCCGTAAGTATTAAGTACCTAAGTCTAGACAATTTATTATTATAATACTTATTATAAGACTAGAGGATTAAAGAAGTAGTTATGTGATTTTAAAATTCATAATATTGATAGATTAAGATTGTAAATCTTATTAAAGTATTAAGAAATAAAAATAATTTAATTTTGACTATCTGCATTCTAAGAAAAGTGAGTTTCATTCACATTAGAAAAAAGAATTATGAACATCACAGTAACAAAAGATTACATTTTTAATATTTTTATTTATTTCCATTACGTTGAAAGGTAGTAGGGAGAGTTGTATAAAAAAACGATTTGGTTCTTGAATATTTCTATTTCATATTGAGTGGTGGATAATAAACAATTTTTCCGTGTAGAGATAGTTACACATTTTAATATATGTTAAAATAGTTTACGTTATTGTATTTTTAATTTCAGGTAACAAAGTCGGAATTCACAAATCATTGCATTAAAAATTATAGCAAACATCTTTACAACATAAAGAAGAACACTAAAACCGTTTATTTAAAGACAAGGAAATATTTAACAGATGATATCATACAAAAATTGGTAAAGGCAGCACAATTCGCGGTTTACAGTAATAAAGATGGAAGCGTTGCACAACTTAAACAAGATTTAAGAAATAGTGTAACACATGTTTTTGGTAATCATATTAACTGCCAAAGAGAAATTTGCGATATTAACGCACATTCCGAATTCACATCATCAGGAGCTCACCAACATGTATACACAGCATTAAATTTACTTTTAACAAAAGCACACCTTCTTTTAGCTAACGAAATAACCAACAAAGCAGAATCATTTATGAATATTATTGCTCGTTTCAATATGGGAAAACGATTAAATCTCATTCAAAGGAACGGTTTCCAAAGTAGGTGTGTTTTGAGCGCTCTTCGTTACAATAATGGAGTTAATTGGCACATCAAAATTTGAAAGCAATGCTTTAATAAAGAAGGATCCCATTTTCTAGGAGTACGGATCTAATACTGCTGAGGTAGACATCAGTGATGAATGTTTTAAACAAGAAGTTAATAAATTAATTGACCGACTAAAGGTATTAACATGAATATTACGTTTTTACTTTTTATATGATTTTATATTTAAATGTTTTAGGTGACGAGTAAGCAAAACAACAACAAATATCAGAAGAAACTATAGGACAGTTCAGCAACCCAAGATACTTGGAGGAAAGAAGATTTCGGCTAACGGCTTCTCATTTTGGGGAAGTTGCAAAAGGAAGGGCCCGTACTCCATGCAATTGTTTGGTAAAAAAATCTTGGTGTAAAAAGGATGCAAGCCACAATTTGTCGCGAAGTGACCATTTTGGCTCAAAATATCTGTTAACAATGACACTAGCTATATACAAATTAATTTACCTTTAATCCGAAAGATGAAGCTATTAAACATAAATAAGGATATAATATTTTTATGTAACAAAGACGTAAGCCTCATTTTTTTTTTCAAATAAATCGTTTCAAAGTTTTTTAAAATGTTTTTAAATATTGTTCCCTATATGAGATAAACTATATTTATGATTTATTCTATTTTTCGTAATAGGTATTTATATTTAAATATTTTTTTTTATTTCTCTTTGACAGATTTAAAACAAATTTAAAACTCAATTTTCTCAAAACTTAATTAATGTGGCTTGTATCCTTTTTACACCAAGGGCTTTATTTGTTGATGTGCAATATGGGTTCCTAGGTGCATCACCTGATGAGCGATAATTATTTACGTATTATAACAATAGTTTAATAACTTTTTCTATTTTCTAGGTTTAATTAATTCTGATGAACTTGTCGAGTTAAATGTTTTTTAAAAGTAGTCACATCTAATCTTTCATTAAGAGAGACCGTAGAGAAAAAATCGTTCCCTGTTTAAGAATTAAAAATGGTGAAATTCATTTGAAGGAAAACCACAATTCAAGGACAACTCGGTATCTCACGAAGAAGAATGTGCCACTTTATAGTTTATGTAGGAGATGAGAATCCTCATTTTATTGAAAATATATATTTTGATTTTTTTTTTAAATCTAATGGAGAAACTGAGAGTTTTTTATGAGGATTGTGTGGGCCCGGAAATAATTTTGAATAGAAGAGGTAGAAAATTAAAGTGCAGAGATCCGCCGAAGAGTAAATAAATTATGTATTATCTTTTTAAAATTAATAAAAATGTTTTTGTTTTAAGTTTTTTAATTTTATTTAATTTACTTATTTGTACAAAATTTCGTGAAATACAGGTACCTAGCTAATTTGCTAATATTGTATATCTAATTTATTTTGATTTGTTTTGAAATTCTATATATTTAACTCATTAAAACTAAAAAGTGGTACTTTTATTAAAGGTTTTATTTATTTTCAACACTTTAAAATTTTAACACATTCGATTATGAAGTTACCTACGTGAAGATTATCTTTTTCTATATCGTTGATGTAACTTTTTGTTATTTACTCATACAGTATCCCGTTGGGATAATTTTTTTAAAAGCAAGTGATCTAATTTATAGGTGTTTCTATTTTATCTCTATTATAATATCTATATACCACAGTAACGAAAAGAATAGAGTGACTAATGCATTAACTCTCCGTCGATACCGAATCTTAACTGCCACAACATAAAAAGACTACTATTGTTACTATCGCTGTTGTATCTGCTTATAATAGTAACTCTATTCATTTTCGATACTGTAATATAAACTACTTTAAAGTTAAAATATTCAAAAATTAAAAAAAGAGTACATCGTATTTATTATTAAAATTTAACTTATTATTAAAACCCTCGTATCTAAACCCAGCTGCTCATCTAACAACAACGTAACCAAATTCAACCAGGCGATCATTGCTCGACTGTAAATTAATATCACACATTCTATATTCTTTTTGTCGTTTTATTAACTCGTTTTAGTGTAATTATTTTTTTTTTAAATAGTACAATTATATTTAAAAAAAGAAACGAAATGTAATATCTTTTCGATCCATCTATGGAAGCAGGGATGAACTAATTATTGATTATCTTCGGAAAGTGAGGACGCCATTTTTAGTCCAAATTTTTTTTAATAATGGATTACACATAAAATGCAACCCAATTTTCATTTATAACTATTTCAGAGGTCTGAGCCTTTTCGTATTTTCCGATTGAAAGATTTGATAGGAAAATGTTTAACTTAGGTGGTTCAAGGTTTCATTTTCAGAAAATTTATTGAATTTGTAGTTTATTCTTACAATGAAAAAGGTCTAAAAATAGGTCATTTTATACCACACGTTTGCAATTAAAAACAATTAATTTAAAAAAAGCAATGCCTGAACCACCTAAGTTGGACCTTTATCTACAATTAAAAAAAAATAGTACGATATAGGGTATAATTACGGAAATAGTTACAATTAACTTTTGGTCTACAGACGCCATTCTAATGCCCAAGGATACTCTGTCCTTAAGTATCTGTCCCATAGATGAAAACAAGAGGATAAACAAAAGTTGCAATATAACAACCTGATGTAGAATTATTATTAATTACTATGTAAACTGCGTCCAGCTATGTTTTGCAATGTTATGTATGCGAGAAAAAAAATTTAAAAACCACAGTTATTTAGTTAAATTCGTAGATTTCAAGATATAAGTACTGCATGCTAAATATCACTGAAATATCTCAAGCAGTTTCAAAGTTATTAATTTTTTTTTAAAACTTTAGGATCCCGTATTAATATTTTTAGATCATAGTTTATAAAGCAAATTATCATTAATTCTTCATGTAGATTCACAGCCTTAGATATTCGCATATCATTAATGAACACCCTATATAGTAAATTAAGTACCTCTATTTCATTTAATTATTTTTAATAACTGTTTAATACGTTTAAACGTCTAAAATAAATGGTATATTAACTTCTAAATATCTAATTAGTTTGGTTATTAAAAACAAAAAAATGAGCAAGCAAATAGACTAATTATGCAGAAAACGATATGAACATTTTCCAAGTAAATTATTAGAAAAGCTATTGTTTTTGCGTTGACTAAATTTTTGAGTATTATTTCTTATGATTTGATATAGATTTTTACAACAAAAATAAAGAATTTCAAACTCAAATGTGACCAAGACGTAAAAGAAAAACAAGAAAATCTAAAAGTCATGTTTCATTAAATAATAATTTTGACAGTAAGAAACATTAAGAAAAAATGGTTAATAGATTCTAGCGCCACACTGAACCCAACACAATAACGAATATTAAGTTATATCAAATACATAACAAAAAGTACCAAATATTTAAAGTAGTATACATTAATTCTTATTACCAAATTTCCGTGCCCAAGATAAAAGTACTTACCAAATTAGAATCTCGCAAAAGGTCCTCAGTGTGCACATTAATTCCCAATATTTCAATCATTCTGGCATACCGAGCAGCTGACTCAATAGACCAACACCTCGGATCGCTGTATTTGGAATAAACAGTACTTTCTCCAACGGTCAAGAACATGACTGGGTACTTATTTTGCTTCATTCTAATAACCTGGCAAATATCAGGATTAAAGCAGGAAAAAATTATTCTTCTATCACCACCATATCGCAGTACAACATCCAAAATGGTATCCAGGTACAAATTGAGATCCGTAGGATGGTAAAGCTCATATGTACCATCGTACAACTTCATGGTCCATTTTATTTCTATGTTGAAACCGGTATGGGTGTCGAGAGTTTCTAGAGCTTGCTGAAGGGTCGGGAATGGTTGGTGGTCGTCTAGATCTTCATCAAAAAATCGTTGGTTTTTAGTTTTCCCTTCAGTTAAATGATAAACCTGAAAAAAATATCTAGAAATGAAAAAGTTCAAAATATTAGCAAATGCAAATTTCAACTTAATATCTAATATTTTTATTATCTAATATTTATTATAGTAGGGGATGTCTTTTGCTGTCTGTGGAAATCTGTTTTACCGCCGGTGAGTGAGACCCTTTCCTCAGCCACCTGCGATGATGAGTACTGAATGAACATCAAAATCGAGAATTAGTCAGTAACCAACAGATCGCATTCGATTAAATTTCCCAAATTAATTACGCAAATTTACGTTTTCCTTGTATTACTTGGCCACTTCGTTTAAGTCTCTGTTTATACAGGGTGTTAAAAAAAAAGTGTCACAAAATAAAACGGGGGGTAGTATGGGCCAAAATATGTAGAAAAGTCTTAATAAACATATGTCCGCAAATGAATGGTTTCAGAGATACGGAGTGTTTTGTGTTTCGTATCATTTTTTGATTATCTTTTTTCATTCTCAAAAACTTGCTTTTCTTATCGGAGTCTACCGATGTTTTTTCATAGATACTATTTACAGTTATTATTTTGTTGTGGGTGAATAATTTTATAAATTTTCACTAATATTGAATTAGCTGACATGCATTTTATGTACGGTCATGCAAATGGCAATGCGAGGGAAGCGCTACGTCAGTATTTGAACATCTCATTTAACTCTATGTTGTTATTGATTGTTCATAAATATCATTGTTTTTTTATAATAATAAAAAATTGTTATAAACACAAAATGGTCCGTATCTCCGAAACCGTTAATTTGCGGTCATATATTTATTAAGACTTTTCTGCTTATTTTGGGTCATACTATTCACCATTTCATTTTGTGACACTTTTTTTTTAACACCCTGTATAGTAAGAAACACTAGTGCAGTTTTTTAGATCAAATGTGCAGTATAGTTGAGTGTCATAGAAAAAAGTTTTAATTTTACCGTAATTTACAACTGAATTTAGGTCGGCAGTGTAAATTAGAAAAAGTAGGGGACCCAGTACAGAGCCTTGAAGGACTTCAGCGGTTACACATGAAAAATTTGTTGAACTATTATCTAGAAATACTTTTTGAAGTCGATTACTTAAGTAAAATTTAAAGAATCTCAAGGAAGAATCAAAACCATAATAGTTTAGTTTAGCCCACAATAAGAAGTGGTCAAGAATATCAAATGCTTTCGAAAAGTCGAATTGTGTTAATGCTGTAGTCAGCCCTACATCAAGGGATTTTATTGTGTGGCCACTGACATTTAATAAAAGGGTAGTTGTACTAAATCCCTTTCTGAAGCCAGACTGAGTATTACCAATAATACCATTTGTAAAAATATATTCATACACTTGCTTACTAATAGTTTTTTCAAGAATTTTTGAGGTCTTGCTATGTAATGATTTATATTTTTTTTGAATTATAATTATGTATTGAATCATTCATACTAAAAATTATACCTGGATTTTCGTGCTAAATATTAGGTTTTGTCATTTTGATAAAGTAAGGTTTTTCCGCGGAACCGCACTTTTCAAAAGACTTAAAAAACGTATTTGGAGGTCTTGCTATGTAATGATTTATAATTTTTTTTGAATTATAATAATGTATTGAATCATTCATACTAAAAATTATACCTGGATTTTCGTGCTAAATATTGGCTTTTGTCATTTTGATAAAGTAAGGTTTATCCGCGGAATCTCACATTTTTAAAGACCTAAAAAATGTAAATAGAGGTCTTACTATTTGATAATTTTTTTTTTTTTATTGATACTTGTTTATTGAATCTTTGGTATAAAAATTGTATTTGGAATCTCGTGTTAAATGTTTGTTTTTGTTGGTTTTATTAAGTAATATTTATCTGCGGAAACGCTCGACTTTAATGATCTAAAAACTATATTTAGATGTCTTAATGATTTTTTATTTATTTTATAGCTAGCTAGTGGTGAACTACTAAATTATTGGTATAAAAATTGTATTTGTAATCTCGTGCTAAATGTATTTTTTTTTGTCTTTTTGTTCTTACAGTCGATTAACGACAAAACACCTGACTTCAAAAAGACCAAAAAAATATATTTTAAATCATTGCTCGGCCATAATTTTTTGTTTAATCAATTAACAAAAATCTAATGAATATTTGGTATAAAAATTATATTATAATCGCATTGTAAATGTGTTTGTTTCGTACCCGTCTTTGTGCAAGATTATCTTATTTTAACTAATAATTCAAATTGAATTAATCCATTTTTTCAATAAATGCACTAATATTTATTTATTTCTAAACTTTCATGATCCTAAAGTCCACCTAAACCAAAGATTTTGCCGAATAACAATTTCAAAACATTAAGGGACCGCCGTCTCTTGGCTTAGGCTTAGTAAAATACCCTCTAAGAAAAAATAGTGTACTATAATACATACTTATTTAACATTTCTTAAAAGTCACGGTTCTAGTGTTTGATTAGAGTGTTGATTAGATACATTTATTGCCTATTCTTATTGTTCAATTAAACAAATGATTTTAAGTGAGTTGTTAAAATTACAATAGGAAATAAAGTTTAAATTTATTTATGACTGTTTTATGGAAATAATGCATGTGGTTTAAATTATTTTATAGATATTTCATTTTATTTTCCATCATAAAAATAGTATATTACATTACGAGTGTGGAAAGTGACATTTTTCACACGAGTGGGAAATATTGTCGCACGAGGCGTAAGCCGAGTGCGACTATCACACGAGTGTGGAAAATCACTTTTCACACAAGTGATGTACAATATTATTCCTACGACCACAAAATAATTTCATCAAAAAATGTAAAACCAGATTATTATAATAATTAAAATGTATTTAAAAAAATAATCAACAATAATCGTATTTATTAAATTTTCATAATTTCTAAACAAATAAAAAAAAATAAAAAAAAAAATAAAAAAAAAAATCTGGCACAGCCAGGATTCGATCGCGGTCGTTGGACGGTCTCAAATTGCAAAGTTGATGCTCTAACCAACTGAGCTAACAGGCCTTACGGTAATTGATTGATCTAATCGCTTATGTGTTTAACCAGAATAAAAAGCAAATATATCTTAGTTATTTTAAAATTATTTTAAAAATAATTGTTAAAGATAAATATCTAGGATCTAATTTACAATAATTTAACAATCATATCGATTTTAGTATTAATATGGACATTACATAGATCAAAATAGAAATTATGTGTTTGACATTTTCTGACAGCTACTGCGGAAAGTAGCATATTCTCACTTGGGTGGAAAGTAAATTCTTATTCATACGCGTGTGATATAGGGCACTTTCCATAGGTCTATATAGTGTGATATGTGTCACTTTCCTAAGTGGTCGTAGGAAAAATATTTATTTTCAAATAAATTTTATAAAATATGTACTTTCTATAAATTATTACACATATTTGTCTATTTTTACTCAAACTAATTTATGAAAATACTTAATTCAAAATATGTATTAAAAAATATATTTTTTTGTAAAGCATTCAAATATAGCATTTTTAGTAGGCACCTATAGTCTAAATAAAAAAGAAGAGCCACAGTCCATAGGCGTACTTTGCAAAATACATTATTTTCTATATCAGATAATTCACAATCTGAATTCATATTTTTAAATTTGCAAAAACAGGTTTGACATAAACAACAAATTAAAAATCGAAGAACTGTCACTTGGCAATAAATCGGAACGTTGTTACCATAGTAACGAAAGTTCCACCCCCCCTTATCTTCGATATTCATTGAGATATCGAAATAATTTTTTTCTTGTTTGAAAGACTAGAACAAGTACTTTCTTGCGATGGATTCAATTATTCTGTGACGTCATGGCTTACTTCCGGTTTTTCCGGAAATAACAGAAAATCGTAATTTCGTTTCTATTTTTAACTGAAACCCACTTTTTTTATTGTATATTTGGATTTCTGAGACATTTTTATATAATAATCGTGTATCGAAAATTTTCTGACAGCTTTCAAAATGGTCGCCATATTGGATAATATTTGTTCTAAACATGTTACCATTGATTCGTTTATGAAAAAAAATATAGGAATGTATGGTCCTTATAAAATCTTTGTTATCTTCAAAATTCCCATTGAGACCCATTTACCGTATGCCAGTGGCGTATCTAAACATTTTATAATATTAGCAAACCGTTTAATAATTCCATCCGCTTTTATCTTCGTTGTTAATTGAGATATCGGAATGAAAACTTTTTTGTTTGAAAGCTTATAACAGATACTTTCATATACTGGATCCAATTGGTCTGTGACGTCATGGCTTACTTTGGATTTTTCCGGATATAACTTAAAATCGCAATTTATTTTTTAATTTAAGTCGTAACCTCTTTTTTGTTGAAAATTTGAATTACTGGGACAATATTGTACAAGAAGCGTATATTAAAATTTTACTGTCAGCTGTCAAAATGGCCGCCATATTTAAATAATATTTTTTCTAAACATGTTACTATTAATTTGTTTATGGAAAAAATATGGGAATGTATGATCTTTATAAATCATTGTAAGCTTTAAAATTCCTATTAAGACCCACTTACTGTACACCACTGGCGTATCTAAGCATTTTTATTATTAGCAAACCGTTTAATAATTCCATCCGCTTTTATCTTCGTTGTAAATTGAAATATTGGAAAGAAAACTTTTTTGTCATGTCAAATACTACTTCAACTGATCTGTGACATCATGGCTTACTTCCGGTTTTTTAAAAATAACAGTAAATCGCAATTTATTTTTTATTTTTAAATGGAAACCCACTTTTTTATTGAAAATTTAAATTTCTTTCAAAAGAAAAGAGGGGGAGGGGACTTTTGAGAAGCACTGTATATTCACAGTACTGTATATTCACAACACTTTACAAAGCGCTGAGATTCCAGAAATTAAGAATATGTCAAAAGAAATCCACTGTGAAATAACTGGGGCGTTTATTAAAAAGCTTAATCTGGTATTCATTGTTATATATAGGTCAAATTCACAATATTTAATTTTGAAATATTTC